ACAGACTTGCTACGGAAACTTAAAAACATAGACCACCTTCCCAGCAACACCTTCCTAGCCACCATGGACGTTACCAGCCTATATACCAACATCCCACACCAGGATGGCATCCATGCCTGCCTTACATATCTACAGGAACAAGATTACAACTCAGAACACAGACCCAAATATATTACTGACCTTATACACGTCATCCTCATACACAGCAATTTCACTTTTAATAATCAACACTTCCTCCAGATGATGGGAACAGCTATGGGCACTAAAATGGCCCCACAGTATGCCAACCTTTTTATGAGCCACCTGGAAGAAGACTTCCTCAAGAACTGCACCATCAAACCCAGGAGCCACAGCACAGGTAAGCAACGAGAAGGTAAGAAATAAGGGGCCCCTTGGGACTCGGAGCGGGGGGGCAGCAAAGGCACCAGTCGCAGGGCTCAAGTGCCTATATACTAATGCTAGGAGCTAGGAGCTGTGCTGTGGTGCTGGCTGCTCCATGGCTTGCAGGTTCCCAATGTTCTCCTTCTTCAGGCTGGGCTAGTTTAACTAAGGGTTGGAAGGAGCACTTCTACAGAACACAGACAATTTATATGTGTGGGTGTGTGTATAGAAACTTATTTTGGGTCAATCAGAAATGTTTGGTTTAACCTGAAATAAAATTCAGGTCAGTTTTTAGCTTAAAAATTAAAAAAATAAATAAAGTGTCATTTCAAAATCAAAAGTCAACCATTTTTTTTGGAAAAGGTCAAAGGACTTTGGCATTTCCAACAATGAAATATTTAATTCAATTAAAGTGTCTCCATTGAGTATTTCAAGATTTTCAGTTCTCCCCTCATTTTTAGGGTAGCAAAACTCTTTGCCAACAGTTTTAGATCACCCCTCCCACATTGCCACCACCATAAAACCCTTAATTTTTCAGTGAATTCTCTATTTGTCAAAAAAAAATCATCAGGAGCTACTTTTGAGACTATGACCATTAGGATTCCCAATCCTCATGCTATAACTTCACTAGCAGTGAATAAAAAAAACCTGATATCAATATGCTTCACATCTTTCAGACAGACTGAACTCTGTTTTGGTTCAATTCTTATATTAAACAAACTTCTTCATCTCTCCCTGATATTCAGGATATTTTACTCTTACTTTCATTAAAGATATTTCAGCTCCCTGGTTCTTATTCTCTGATATACTTCCTCCTCTTGCAACTTTCAGTTGTCTGTGATGTCCAACATCCAACTTACTCACTTTTAAGAGTCAAAGTAGGAAAATTTAATTGAAGTGAAATGCAGTGTGGCAGTGATGTGCTAGAAAAATTATGTAGGCTATAGGAGCTACGAAGACAGCTCATATATGCATGCTTTCTCATTTGGTTCTCAGCACACTTGGCTTATCTTTACAGAGATAAAAATTTACTTCATAATTCACTCCTTTTATTTTTTGTTCCTATGCAGGTCTTTGGGGGCTTATCAACAATGCTGGGATCATGGGACCAACAGCTCCTACAGACTGGTTGAAGATTGAACATTTCAGAGCACCAATTGAAGTTAATTTAATTGGCCTTATAAATGTTACATTAAACATGCTTCCCTTAGTTAAAAAAGCTAAAGGGAGGATAGTCAACATATCCAGCATCGGAGGTCGTCTGACAGTGAATGGCGGTGGCTATTTTCCTTCCAAGTATGGGCTGGAAGGATTTAATGACAGCCTAAGGTATAACTATATTAACTGTGATGAAATAATACATATTATAGAATTCTGAAAAAGTAGGGCTGGAAGGGATTTCCAAAGGTCATCTAGTCCAACCCCCTGCCTGAGGCAGGACCATCCCTACCCAAACCATCCTATACAATCCATAATCTAAACTCTACGTAAGACTACTGTCGACCCTGACATGACACAGGCCTAACACCCTAACCTGCCACAGGTAAAGCTGGGGAACCATAGCAGCCAATGCCTTGTTCCTATGAAACTTTGCCAATCTATGCCATGCCCCTGGATACAGAAGAAGGCAAAAACCCCCACAGTCCATACCAGTTTGATCATGGGGTAAAGATTCTTCCTGACCCTGAATATGGCAATTGGTCTGACCCTGAGTGGAGGGCCCCCCCCAGGCAAGGACCTCTGGCTTTGGTCCCAGCAGGAGCATTGGCACACCCCAGTCAAAATCCCCAGTTTTGGCTATTACTAACACCTAATGCCTCTAAAGAAAGCTTAAAAACACTCTGATACATTTAGTAGAAAGTCGGGAAGGGGGCAACCAGCAAAGCCTAGAAGAATGGGAAATAGCCATGGCATATGACATAGCTATGCCTAGATCATCCCTGACCAGTGACTGTCCAACCTCTTCTTGAACACCCCCAGCAATGGAGAATGCACAACTTCCCTAGGCAATCCATTCTACTGCCGCACTGTTCTAACAGTGAAGAAGTTTTTTCGGATATCCAATCTAAGCTTACTTTGCTGCAACTTCAAGTCTTTGATCCATGTCTTCCTCTCTGCAGTAAGAGAGAAAAGGTGCTTTCCTTCTTTATGGCAGCCCTTCAAGTATTTGAAACCTGCTATCATATCCCTTCTTAAGAGCATTTTTTCAAGCTGAATATGCCTACCTCCTTCAGCCTCTCCCCATATGATGTGCTTTCCAAGCCCTTGATCATCTTTGCTGACCACCTCTGGACCCTCTGTAACTTCTACATTTCCTTTTTAAATATGGAGCCCAGAACTGCACAGAGTACTCCATATGATGCCTAACCAGTGCCAAGTAGAGAGACACTATTGCCTCCCATGTCTTGCACCTAAATGTTTCTATTGATGTGTCCCAAAACTGCATTCAGCTTTTACACTGCTGCATCACACTGCAGACTCATATTGAGCCTGTGATCTACCAGAGTCCCAAGTCTGTTCCAGAGTGCTGCCAGCCAGCCAAGTGTCACCCATTTTATATTTGTGTTTTTGATTATTCCTTCCAAGGTGTAGCACCTTACATTTGTTTGCATTGAACTGCATCCTGTTAGCTCTTGCCCAACTTTCCAATCTGTCAAGATCTTTCTGAATTGTGCTTGCATCTTCCAATGTGTTTGAAGTCCTTCCTAGGTTAAACTAAATAGTACATCAGCTCAAAACAGAGGCTTGATTCCCTTTTTTTTGTTAATTGGATAATCTAAATAAGGGTTCAAGTAGATGAGGCAGTTATGCAAGATAAACCAGGAGTGCATCTACAGTGTACTCGCTACTTTACACTACTTCTATTTGAGAACACTTCATTCTTGCTAAGAGAACCTTTGTGTAAATAGGGTTTACCTCACCCTATTTACATTAATAACCTCCCTCTAAAAATATTAACATGAGAAGTTATTGTAGAGAAGCAAGCACACTGTAAATTAATAATTACGTCACTGTGCAATAAACTCCCTAATAGTATGCATGGGAGAGTGGGCAGTCTTAGTGGCTAGATACCTGAAGCACAGGTGTAGTCCAGATCTTTTCCAATGGAACAGAGGGTATGGAAGGATTTGGCATCAGAACTGGATTTGGAAGCTGTAGCCAAAGTCAGGATAGGCTGGGATCAGAAGCTGAAGCCAAAAACAGAGTAAGTCAAGGGTTAACCAGAATCAGAAACCAAAAGTCAGAGCTGAAGGCCAAGACAGAATCAAGAGCAGAAAATTGGTGTCAGGGAAGGCCAAGGCTCTTACAAGGATTGGAAGGTGGAGTCAGAGCCAGGAGTCAAAAATTAGCAAACCATCAAGGAAGCACACGGAAGGTCAGAAGCAAGAACTTTTGCCTTTGTCCAGACAAGAAGATTGCAGGCTGGGCCTTAAGGGCTAGAGTGCGTGGGTCCTGTTGCCTGTAGCTTCAGGGACTGGCTGTACTGATTACAACACTCAGCTCAGCTAGGACCAGGGTGTTGCTCTGGATTTGCTGCAGGTGACGTTTATTTAGGGAATGACTAGCCCTGATCTCTTGATTAAGACTTGCTGAGTCCAGTGTTCTGACCTGGCATCATTACACCAGTGTAGACAAAACTTACAAATGAAGTTACTTTGATGTTAGTGAGAATCACACCCACTGAGTCTAGATGGCTATGGAATTGCCATGATTTAAGCTGCAGATCCCCTATACATTGCAGGCAATCCAAAAAGCCACTTATAATATAATTACCACACACTATGGTTAAAGTTAACAAAACAAAGGTCTGGATGCAACTATTCCTCTCCCCTCTCCCCCACCCAACCCACTTCATGGTCATTCAGAAATTATTCTTTTGAAGTAGGGGAATCAAAGGAGGTACTTGAATTTGGGGGAAAGAATGTGGCAAATTATTCTGGAATATACAAGCTGAGAGAAGCACTGTAGTACTTTTACATACTGTATTGTTTTACATATATCACACCCCTGAATATAGTATGCACCTTGTTTTTGAGAGGCAGAATGAAGCAGCAGCAATTTTTTCCAGAGCTGTGGCTATATAGAGTAGGGTCAGAACTTAATCTTCAGCTGAGTCACTTTCATTTTCCTGCTTCACTATAGCTGAAACCCTAGCTGCTGCTAAAGACTGGTCTTCATTGGCAGATTTTTGATCCTGAAAAAATGCTAGAGTCTTCAGGGGGTTGCAATAGGAGGAGAACAACCAGGAAAAGCAAGCTGACAGAAAAAAAACACTAATAAAAGGTTAGCTTGATTAGTGGAACATCAAGGCACTTAGAACAAGACTATTGTTAACACCTGTGGAGAACAATTAGCCATTAAGTTTATTGACTTTCCCATTTGCCTGAATACTAATGCAACAGCTATTGCACTGTAGGGCTAAAACAGGGGTGGGCAAAATGCGGCCCACACACCAGATGCGGCCCGCTAGCCCATTCCATCCGACCCACGGGGCCCCTAAAAAATTTAGAAAATTAATATTTATCTGCCGCTGGCTGCCTGTCATGCAGCCCTCGATGGCTTGCCAAAACTCAGTATGCAGCCCTCCACCCAAAATAATTGCCTGCCCCTGGGCTAAGATCATAGGCAGGGTGCTTCTATCATAGGCAGAAAATCAGCTTCCCTACTTAATACACCCTTATTTTGAGG